AGGGGAAGCGGGAGTCGCATCAAGCCATCCCTGGAGCCCAGATGGGGGTTGTAGGAGGGGCCCCTCCTCCCTCTCGCCCGACGAGTCGAAAATTTAGAAAACCTTGGGAACGGTAGGTAGGATGAGAAAGGGGGCCTTATCAGAGCAAGAAACTTTGGGTAGAGGGTGGTTTTTTGCTAAAAATAGTTACAACGAGATGCTATGCCCTAGGAGGGTTTCCAGGGACAGGGTGAAAACTATTCACCAACGATGACAGTTGGGTGGCTCAAATGGCTAAAAAAGTCTGTGGGTTTTCTCCCTAAGGACCTATCTTTCTAGACAAATTATTTCAAAAAAAATCAAAGCTAATTTGTTGTAAGAGAAGGTTGTACTGCCTGCGTGGAGCAGCGCTGTGCAGAGCTATAATAGATGGAAGCAGGTGAGAAACGGAACGGCTCATATAATCACCAGTTATGATACCGGCTATTAATGGCGAACTGATTACATGTAGAGCAGTTAATTAGGCTATATGATCGTGAAGGATTACCCAGGCAATAAGGCTCATGCTCATGGGTCCTGAAAGACAAGCAAAATGAGAATGAGCTCGGGGTTGATGAGGCTTTTCAGAGGGGGCACAGCGTCCGCTTGAACATGCAAAAGAGGGGTCGTAATTTGAGCGCTGGAGAGGGGGAGGGAAGTCCTGCGAGCGTTCTAGCAAAAAATCCTTTTGTTCTTTCCACCTGCGTCATCTAACTACCTCCCCCCCCCATCCACCTATTGGCACCGCAAAACTATTATACCATCACTATTTTTTTAATGGTGGTGGTGGTTATCTCGAAGAATCACGGTTGAGAGGAGAGGCGGGTACCTAATAGGAGGAACTAGAGGGGTATTCATCCGAAATGTTACGTAAAGCGATCGCGTGCCTTGTCTCTTCCCCCCCCCTCTCCCTCCCGTAGCCAGGCAAAAGAAAACTCTCCCAGGTACACTTGGGTAATGAATTTGGAATCATCAATGTTTCTAGGAGCGTGGACGAAGAAAATGCGAACATTGACTACTAGGGGAGGGATTTTGTCGCCCGATAAGCTCAGCAGTACAAAGGAGCTTATAGATTGCAAACAAAGTCAATAACGAGATCAAGGTGGCAGTTGTTGATGGTAAGGCAGGTCAGAACATTCCCGTTGGGGCAAATTTTCCAGGAGACGACCTTTTCTCCTCAGGATCCGTCGATCGGGAAGCAGGCAGGGTCGACCAACGTCAAAAAAATCCTCGTGTAGGTGGGAGAAAAA